GTCGTATAGACCCTAATGTAACAGCAACATTCGGTATTTTTAAGATTTTAACAGAATTTTGAACGGATTTTATTGTTTTTGAGAATTGCCAAATTCGTTCCAAATGGTGAAGGGTATTCAAAGTTTGGCCCGGCCGACAGCTTTTTTACTTGTTTTTTGTTCGAGAGTTATCCTTTACAATAGGCGATGTATTTTGTTGAAATTCGTTGAAGAAAATGTAGGATCCGTTTATTTCAGTGAAGCGTCCCTTGTAGCTATATTACTCATAGTTTAAAAAAAAAAACTTCGGATGTTAACTAACAAGACTTCAGGAATAGATTTATGATGCGACATATGAAATCCGTGCTACAATTAAGAAAGAAACCTCGTGCGATCATATATTTATTTTTTTTCGAATCATACATTTGACAAAATCTCACTGTCAAAATTAGAATCTGTTTTCTTTACCGTTAAATTTGCAAAGATTTATTATAAAAAAAAACACAGCAGAACTTTAGGTGGTTTTTTGAAATGAGATTAATCTCTTAATTCTTTACTGGTTTTATCGGCGAATCATATCAATAAAATTTTTTCCAAGAAAAAATTAATGTTTGAAGGGATGAACCATATTTTCATTCAAATAATCCGTAATTGATTCAACTGCTGGAATATCTTCCTAAATATACTATTTTTCCACTGAATTCTGAGATATAAATCCTTTGCCAATATTGTGTCTGTCAAATTAACGATTGTCGATTTTAATGTTATTCCATTTTTTGAACGAAATTTAAATGTTATTTTTGTCACCTAAATATTTTAAATTAGTATTAAGTTGTCTAAATACCCTCATTCTTTCCTCTCATCTCTATACACTTTTAGCATCCCACACACGAACATATACATTCATATGTATGTGTTTATCACTTTATTTCATCGCCCTCATCATCATCGATAATAGAAACATCAATTATGATAATTAGTCACAAAAATGCATCGACAATTGTAAATATGTCAATGTGAGTCCTCACTCACACACACGCCCACGCCCACTCATACATATGCAATTAAAATAGATTACAAATTTAAATGATATCAGATTAAACACTAGATTTTGTTTAATTAGCTGTTGATTTTATTGCATGTTTCAAATATTCAGTCATTCATTAATTCATTCATTCGCTTATTCGAATTATCATAAAATTATGGATTAGCGTATTGAGCCTCGAATGTACAAAAAAAAAAAAAACTAATTTCGTAATTCGACGCATTCAAAGAGATTCACACCCAGGGGGATATAATTGGAACCATTCAAGTAAAAATATGTCAAAATCGTACGGCTAATTACAATAATTGTATTTTTGGCATCTTTCATAAATTTCTGTCAAATTATATAACACATTTAATGGGTTTTAGCGATTTCGAATGTGGTGTTGTAATCTAAATATAAGCATGTGACAGGTTTGAAATTTATAATAAAGTTCTATGAGAAATTAGAATGCAATTTGAGATCAGAAAATCAAAATAAGAAAAAGTATATATTTTGTCGTTCATAAAAATTTATTTCAAAAGTTCTCATTTTTTACCAGGTTAGGACGCTACATGGTAGGACGTAGAAGGAAAGAGTAAAATTAAAATCAATTACAAATGCGATTGCAAAGCTTACTGTGCGTAATTCTTAAATTCATAAATTCCGTGTCCGAATTCTTAAATTTTGCATTTGCGACACTATTAGTTTGAAGTATGAGATAACGGTGAGTTTGTAGAAATTCGTCTTAAAACGTATAAAAAAAAAAATAAAAAAATAAATAAATAAATTAAAAATAGTACTTTTAGAAAAGAGTTCTGAAATAAAATATAAAGTTCTGAAGGAGAAACCTTTAAAACATCCGTTTTCGGTATCCCCCACCATAAAATGCTGTAAGACCTGAAAGTGAAATAATAATTTTAGGCCCCCATCAGGAAAGTTCTTGATTAGTATGAAATTCTATGTTCTTGCTATTAGTCCAACTGACCTGCGGAAATCATTCTAGCTTTCAAACGTTTTAAAATATGTACATAAAATTTTGCTCAAATTAATTTTAAATCTGTGGAATTTTTGATATTTAAAATAGGTCATAATAGTCCCTGTTAACATATAGCTCCTATATAGGGTGAGATAAAAAAAACTGCAACAAAGTCAAACGCCATAATTTTTACATTTTTTTAAATTTTATTTTTAGAATAAGTTTAGATTTCTTTGAATTGACACGAATTATGGCCTCAAACGACCAATGAAACCGTCACACGCTAACCGAATGTTGCTCTGTGGTATTTTGGTCCATTCCCGGCGAAGCGCTTGCTTGAGGTGATCGACACTTTGGTATTTTTTAGTGCCAACCGTGCTTTCCAAAATAATTCAGACACAGTAGTTCAATGGATTGGTATCCGCAGATTTTGGTGGCCATTGTCCGCTGGAAATGAAGAGAGGAACCTCATTTTGTAATCATTCTTGTGTGGCGCGTGCTGAGTGCGATGGTGCTGAGTCCTGTTGAAATATATAAGATCTGCGGCCAAAATGTTTGCGTGCCCAAGGCTTTAGTACACCTTCCAGATTATTTTCGAGATAATATTCGGCATTTATTCTAATGTCACAGTCGATTAATACGAGCGGAGAGCGACCATCGGCTATTATGGCGGCCCACACAATCACCAATGACGGTGCTTGAGTTCTGGTGGCCACCCGAAGGTGCACATTTTCAGCTGACCTCTTTGGCAAGTAAACACGATCATTTTGTTTGTTTACAAACTGCTGTGCATCGAATGTTTTCTCATCGGAGAAAAACAATTCGGCAGTTCACCACTTTCGGACAAGCGAAGCAACTCTTTAGCTATTGAGTCTATTTTCTTTTTGCTGCGGTGTAAGTTCTTTCACTTTTTGGAATTTAAATGGCTTTACCTCGAGCTCATTTTTCAATATTTGCCGAATGGAATATTGCGATATATTCAGCTCACTAGCCATTTTTTGGTCTTTTTTATGCAGACAGGTCAAGTTCGAAGGTGGGTTATATCAGTCCAGGATATCATATAGCCCCCATATAACGGTACCACCGATATTCCGTATTTTGATAATTTTAGCCAAAATTTTCAATGAAATTGTCTGGAAGTCCACAAAAGGAGTTCCTTCTGATATATGGCATATCCCCCATACATTTTTACTACATTTTAGCTACATTGTCTAAAATCCATACTAGAAGTTCTTTCTAAGCCCTTTACCCTCTGAAAGAGTATTGTATGTATATGTCCACGATATCGTATAGCCCACTTACAACGGCACCTCCCAATATTCAGACATCAATCAAAGTTGTCTATGCAAATCCAGGTCTTCGTATAGACCCCATATATCAGTACCTCCCTATATTCGGTATTTTGACGATTTTAGGTACAATATTCACCAAAATATTCTGAAATTTCGTATTTGAAGTTTATAATAGGTACTATCTGTGATAGAAAATTTTCTATGCAGGTCCAGGCCCCGATATTACGGTACCTCCCAATATTCGGTATTTTGATCATTTTAGCTACATTATTCCCTGGAGTTTTTTCAAATGTCGTATTTAGAGTTCGTAATGGGAACTACAGTCTATGACAGAAAATTTTCTATGCTGGTCCAGATCTTCGTATAGGCCCCGTATTTCAATACCCCCCTATATTCGGTATATTGACGATTTACTCTGATTTTTTTGAAATTTCGTATTTGAAGTTCCTAATAGGTACTACAGCCTGTGACAGAAAAATGTCTGTGCAGCTCCAGGTCTTCGTATATCCCTGATATAACTGTACCTCCCAATATTCGGTATTTTTATTTTTTTATTTAAGCTACATTAATCACCGCTTTTTTTCAAATTTCGTATTTGAATATTGTAATGGCTTATGACAAAAGTTGCTTATGCAGGTCCACGTCTGCATATAGACCTCAATTAAAAACTGAAAATACTGTTTTTTTTAAGTTTTAAAAAAATTCTAAACGGTTTTTATTTTTTTAAAAATTTCCAAATTCGTTCCAAAAGGTGGAGGGTATACAAATATAGAAACGGTGTTCATAAATTCCCGTCAATTGATGTAACACATTTAATGGACGCGGTGTGGTTATTTAAAATAAATTCTATGAAAAAGTACGATGCAATTAAAATTATACATTCATAACAGAAAAAAAATATTTTGTGGATTGAAAACAAGTTCCGATGAGGATATCTTCTAAAATTATTGAAAAATTCAAAAAAACTGGGATAGAAAGCTACCAATATACGAAGTTAGACTGGCTGTAGACGATTTGGTAAGTAGTGGATGTGGCGGTTCATGGGGGTCACTAGGAGTAAGAGAGGAATGTAATGATCATGTTAGGGTGAGCGAACTTAAAGCCATCGGTTTTAGGTTTTCACAGGTGTTGTTGCGCTTTTATATTATCTTCAGTTTGATTAGTATCCTATCTTGAAAGTTGCGTGTCTGAGGCTGATGGTACATCCTAGGGAAAAAAGTTGGGTTGACCGGAATCCAAAAGGGAAACATCCCCAAGTCGCCTTAAGGCGATCAGAATATCTTCGAAATTATTGAAAACTTAAATACACTGGGATAGAAAGCTACCAATATACGAAATTAGACTGGCTGTGGACGAAGACAACATTTTATTGATTTTGTTTCAATTGGTAGACAGGAAAACAAAAACAAAAAAAGAAAAGAAGTTGCAAAATTTCTTCCGATGAATATTTCTTTATATTATCACTATAATTTATAATAAATATATGCCCAATTTAAATCTCCATTCTAGAGGTTCAATACATATATGCCTAACATTATACCGCATTGCCATAAAATCGATAACATTTCATAGCCGAGCATTGCCATTATCACGACTTTGTTGAAAATGTTTTAAAAGAAACCGAAAAAAAAACGAGAAAAAAACTTGAAATAATGTTACTGTTCGTTAACCCAATTCTTCTTCTTCTATTTCTTCTCCTCCATTCTTTTATTTCATATTTCTGTAGAGCGTTGTGTTTCAAGAGAGTTATAAAATCACAAGAAAAAAAACTGCAAAAATAAAAAACTAAAACAAAAAATAAGAGAATAACAATTTCTCAGTCAAAAAAATATTGAATTTCCAATTTTGATGTTGTTTAATTTTTTTGTTATTGAATAACTAACCAAGCAAGCAACCAACCAAACAACTATACATATTTATATATATCCATCAGAAATACATACAACAATAAAAATACAAGAATATACTACTACAACAAATAAAACAAACAAACCAACCAACTAACAAATCAAGCCAACCTACTACTAAAACAACTACAACAACAATCCTTCACATATTCTTAACCAGGTAAATGCCTCCTCTATTTCCTATCCAGCCAAAGAACAAAAACATTTTTTGTTGTTGCAAAATTTAAAAAATGTATATTCCTTATAGATATGTATACTAAAGTACATATATAACTATATATATCTAGTTACTGTTTATTTAATACGTATGTATATATATCGTCTGTATTAAATGTCCTGCTGTCTATGTTCCTGTAAATATGTATGTATATTTATGATTTCAAAGAAGAAAATTAACACACGAAATATGTAAATTCTTTATTGCCTTTTGAAAGTTAAATTCTTTTTTGTGTATTCTGTGAAATTGAAACCAATTGAATTACTCAAAATTTTGCAAACGAAACCTTAAAGAATATTGCAACCTTTTACATAAAACTTATGTATGTATATTGAGGTAAGTATATTTTGTAAGTGGTTTAGCGATAACTATGTACAAACGACTAAATATAGAATAAAAAAAATCATACAATAGATTATTGAAGGCATTTATTAAATAGTTGACACATGTCAATATGGGGAACAATTATTAATAATTTTTTCAGCTACTTCATTTATTTCAGTGTTAGGGAAATGCCAATAGTTTGTTTCGATATACCTCCTTGATTCTATTGTCTCCTGTCAGGGCCTTTCGAAGATAGTTTCCCTTCTATACCCTCCACCATAGTATGGAGGGTATATTAAGTTTGTCATTCCGTTTGTAACACCTCGAAATATACATTTTAGACCCCATCAAAGAATATATATTCTTGATCAGCATAAAATTCTATGTCGATTTAGCCATGGTACAATAAGGAGGTAGAATAGCTTCGTAAAACTACAGAAATACAGCCCTGAGGCTATGTCCGCTTCCTGTCAAATTTGCATGAGACAAGTTGTTTCCATTTATTCAATATTTTTCTTCATTTTTAAAATAAGTTAAAGAGCGGGAAAAATGAATGAAATGCTTGGATTTTCTATAAAAAATATGATTTAAACAGTTCTATCTTTCAATTCCATTGCAAAACTGGTGAATAGCTTTAATGTGCGCCTCGCAATTTACGCTTCTTCCAATCATTTATTTTGAAAATATTCTGTTTTATTTTTCAAAACAATAAATACATCCTCAAAAGTAGTCGGGCACACTTAGAAAAAAAATTGTAATCAGCTGGTAGCTCTGCCTTACCTTTTTATTGTACCATGGATTTAGCAATGTCTTTCCGTCTATCCGTCTGTGGAAATCACTCTAGCTTCCGAACGAAATGAAGTAGGTTGATATCTTTTTTTTTATTTTACTCAAATGTGTATTATGTCTGCAGGACTTTTGGTATTGAAAATGGGCCATGTAGGACCACATCTTCATATAGCCCCCATATAACGGTACCTACCGATATGCGGTATTTTAATGATTTTAGCAACATTATTTACCAGAATTGTTTCAAAATTCGTATTTAAAGTTCGTAATATATACTTCGGCTTAAGACAGAAAATGGACCTCCATATAACGGTACCTCCCGATATGCGGTATTTTGATGATTTTACCGACATTATTTACCGGAATTGTTTCAAAATTGGTATTTAAAGTTCGTAATAGATACTACATCCTAAGACAGAAAATGAGCCATGTAGGTCCAGGTCTTCGTATAGCCCCCATATAACGGTACCTCCCGATATTGGGTATTTTGATGATTTTAGAGACATTGTTTACCGGAACTATTTCAAATTTAGTATTTTAAGTTCGTAATGCCTATGGCAGAAAATTGTCTGTGCAGGTCCACGTCTTCGTATAGCCCCCATATAACGGTACCTCCCGATATTCGGTATTTTGATGATTTTAGCGACATTATTTATCGGAATTGTTTCAAATTTGGTATTTGAAGTTCGCAATGGATACTACATCCTAAGACAGAAAATGAGCCATGTAGGTCCACGTCTTCGTATAGCCCTATATAACGGTACCTGCTGGTATTGGGTATTAGGATGAGAGACATTATTTACCGGAACTATTTCAAATTTAGCATTTCAAGTTCGTAATGAATACTACAGCCTATGGCAGAAAATTGTCTGTGCAGGTCCATATAACGGTACCTCCCGATATTCGGTATTTTGATGATTTTAGCGACATTACTAACCGGAATTGTTTCAAATTTCGCATTTGAAATTCGTAATGGATACTACAGCATATGACAGAAAATTGTCGTATTTTAGACCCTCATATATGGCTACATTCGGTATTTTTAAAATTTTAACAGAATTTTTAAGGGTTTTTATTTTTTTTTTAAGTTGCCAATTTTTTACCAAATGGTGGAGGATGTTCAAAGTTCTGCCCGGCCGAACTTACAGCTTTTTTACTTGTTTTTTCTCATAAAAGTTAAGTTTGAGGTATCTCTGGAGTCAAGTGGTGTGTATGTTAGCCTAAGTGTTTGTTTAGCGTGAATGTGCGGAGAATGGTGGTGTTGATATTCAAAATTTTTTTATACAATGGACAATATCGGTCCGCTCCTTCTAGTACCTTCCCCAAAATAAGGTCGAACTTAAAAAAAAAAATAAATAAAATAAAAAAATACTCCACAGAAAGAGAAAGGATACTCCGAATTTGCCCTAACTTTGCAAATCCCAATATTTGTCAGGTGTTATAATATATAGTCAATTCTTCTTCAGTGGGTAAAGTACTCAGAGGGAACTAACAATTCCGTTGAAAATGTGACTAAAATTATGCCGTTATATGGGGATATACGATATCGGGGACCTATATAGACAATTCTCTACCGGGGGATAAATTACTCACAAAGAACTCCTTGTGTAGCCAAAATACCGAATATCGGGGGTACCGTTATATGGGGGCTATACGATATAGTGGACCGATATAGCCCATCTGCGAAGTTGACCTACCTGCAGACAAAATACATCTGTACAGAATTTCAGCTTTCTATCTCTATTCGTTTTGACTGTAGCGTGATTGCAACGGACGGACAGGGCTAAATCGTCTTAGAATTTTACGCTGATCAAGAATATATATCCTTGTTATGTTTATTATTTCGATGAGTTACAAACGGAAAGTTGTGCCAGTTTGCTGCCATTAATTTTATCGATATTAATTTTTCTTTTTGAAAAAAATCTACGTTTTCAAAAAAGGAAAGAATTATAATTTTCATAATATGAAAAACCAGTATTTTTTTTTTTTTTGATAAATCAATGTAATTTCTGAAAAAATTGGTCTCATTTGATATTATGTAAACGAAAAGAGTTCAAATCTTGACATTTGGTACAAGAGTTAGGTTGGGGAAATAAGATTGAGATAAGGATATGGTTGTGTAAATTGTTACTAAGTATAAGAACTTCTCTAAACGGTACTAAATTTGGTACAATTTGAGTTTTCATGAACAAATGGAACTGGTATTTTGAGCGTTGATATGGGTTGATGTTTGAAGGTGGTTTTAGAAATATGTAAAAAAAGAACCAAATGGTAAAAAAATTGGTAAAAGAGGGAGTAATAGAGTTGAGAATCTTAAATTTGGCATTAGTGTCACTCTTTATACCAGGACTAGGCAGAGAGCCTCAAAATGTTTTTGTGATTGTATGTGTTTTGAAATAACAAAATATTGCAAGTGTTTTTTGCCTCTCTTTACAGAGTGAGAAATAATTGGTTATCTTTAAATTTTCAATTTAAAATTTTCTGTTTTAAAAACAACTTCGTTGTTAAAAATTAATATTTTGATCAGACAATTCGGAGATATATTTGCACAGTTATTTCAATTATGTTTCATTTTGAAATAAAAAAATATATAAGTTGACATTTTCAAAAAGTTGATTTAATTTTTATTAAAAAAAAAAAAAAAAATATTAAACACAAATAATATATTCGGACTTAACACCCTAACCATCTAAGTTGACCCTTTAAAAAGTAATACCGATTTCCACAGGCTGGCATACGCAAATAGTCGTAGAATTTTATGCTGATCAGAATTATTATTTGTATGAATTACAAACAGAATGATAAACATCGCATCTTGCTATTTTTCCTAAAATTGACTAAGACTGTACATGTCATATCATAGAAATCGGGTGGATATGAAAATGTCGACTAATTTAGAAGGACAATTAATTTGTCGATCAATATGAAATGAATTCCTACTCCTAACATGTGAATCCTTATACAAATTCTGTCAAAAATAAATCAATCAAATATATACATATTAACAGTTGTAATTTTTATAATTTCGGAAATATTTGTTTCAAATATGTAGTAAAATATATTTATATCATCCAATATTTCTTACGGTGTATTTATAAAAATATCCGACAGCACCTTCCTCAACGACTGCTCTAACAAAACTAAATATTCTCCCAAAACCATTTTGACAGAAAATTCAAAACAATTTATTTTTTACAATTGTGTTGGTGAACACACAGATATCCCAAGGGACACTCTTTGCCTAGCCTTGCTTTATACCAGGGCTAGGCAGAGAGCCTCAAAAATTTTTTGTGATTGTATGTGTTTTGAAATAACAAACTATTGCAAGTGTTTTTTTGCCTCTCTTTACAGAGTGAGAAATAATTTGTTATTTTTTTTTAAATTTCCAATTTAAAATTTTCTGTTTTCAATAGTAAATAAAATTCTAAATAGTCGTAATTTTATGCTGATCAAAAACTCATATCCTGCGTTCGGTCCTAAAATATTATTTCTATGAATTACAAACAGAATGACAAACATCAGATCCTGTTCTTTTTCCTAATATTGACTAAGAACGTATATATCATTTCAGAGAAATCAAGGGATATGAAAATGTCCACTAATTTGGAAGGACAATAAATTTATCTAAAAATATTAAATGAATTTCTATTCCTAACATGTGAATTCGTATGCAAATTTTGTCAAATAGAATTCAATCAAAGAATTTAAATCTTAAAAGTTGCAATTTTTACAATTTCGGAAATATTTGTTTCAAATATGTAGTAAGATATATTTATGTGTTCCAATATTTCTTACGGTGTATTCATAAAAATATCCGACAGCACCTTCCC